GGCTGCACGCGTTGACTACAGAGTGGTAGCAAGTGAACCTGGCAGAATATTGACAGCCAAGTCGCATTTGTTCGTGTCCAGTTATCAGCTTGGGCGTCGGCTGGAGCTGACCTCGATATGGCGCTACATGATTTTATTCGCGCTCGATGCTTCATACTGATGAATATTACGTATAAATCGTTTCAAATAATGTCACGCCACTCCATTGCATTTTGTGTCCAGAGTCGTGACTATAGGAAGCTTAGCTCTTGAGTGCGATATGATAGACATAAATACATAAAGTCTCGTGAGTGCTGCTTTAAAAGAATAGAGACGCATGGTGGTCAGCTTCGCTACAGGTTATTTATTTCGTATAAGACTCGCGTGTTTGGAACAATTGTCGCAGTCTTCACAGCATCTGCAATAAAATATAGAGACATACTAAATAACTAACTATATTGGCCTAGAAAAAAAGGTGCAACACAGGTCGTTTGAACGAAGTACGAAACTTCGCTTAGCACTGCGCGCTTTTGACGCAACAGGGGAGTTTCATTTTTGAATGAGACCCACAGCCCTTTTACGTGTAATCGTTGAATCGCTTCGCTACTGGTGTTCACAAATCTCTTCACAACTTGCACGGACCAAATTACACTCCAGAATGACTTGTCTAACATACATAATTGGTGTTCGCGGTAGATAATGCAGCTTAATACACAAAAATGTAAATTCATGCAAGTTTCGCGCAAGAGCACTAAATTTTCCTTCCAGTATTCTGTGAACTTCCAACCCTTAGCCCAGATCGACTCCTATCGTTATCTTGGCGTAATAATAACAAGTAAACTAACATGGTCCGAGCACATAGAACAACTAGTCACCGCTTCAGCAAAATCACTTGGCTACATTACAAGATCGCTTACGTCCTGCCCACCGTAAATCCGAAAATTAGCTTACGAAACCTTCATGCGTACTAAACTTGAATATGCTTCTGCTATTTGGAATCCTCACCAAAAATACCTAATCGACGCATTAGAAGCAATTCAAAATCGCGCTGCCAGATTCATCACCTCACAATACAGTTCTCGCTTAAGTATTACCAGTATCAAACTATCCCTCAACCTCCCTCCTCTAAAAATTCGCCGCAAAATCACTCGGCTCTGCCTTCTGCACAAACTGTACCATAATTTCCCATCGCAACGCAATACCGTTCTTCTACCTTCCACCCGTTCATGGCGTCGCCTCTTTAACTCCCTATGTTTACAGCGCTTACATGGTTCAACTAACGCTTTCAATAAATCATTTTTGCCTACTGCCATTGAAGACTGGAATAACCTGCCTGAATCCATAGTGCACGAACAAAACCCCTTAAAATTTAAACAGCTAATAACAAATCACTTGATATGTTAGTTAATTTACAACTGTTGCCGTTTTCTTCCACGTATATATATATATATATATATATATATATATATATATATATATATATATATATATATATATATATATATATATATATATATATATATATATATATATATATATATATATATATAATTTCTTCTGTTCACAACATTGTTTTTTATCATGTAGTTCACTTTCGATTATGCTTTGTACCATTGACAATCATGCATCTGTTGAATTGTGTTTTTGCCTCCCCTTATGTAATACTCCGCAAGGGGCCTTTAAGGGTTCGGTAAATGATGATGACAAATCGATTGCTCCAAAGACGTCAAACTCTGGAGATTAGCACACACGTAGCGCCACATGTCCGCGCAGTTTTGGGTAGTGCAAAGCCCGACTCCCTTGCACAGTTTGCTGTGCAACCAGACGCAACTATCGTGCTTGTGAAACAAAGACTCACCTAAGTATACGCGTGTATGCGCAATGAACACTGTGAAAATGAGGTGCAAACTTCTTTCTCTTCGCTGGTCGGACGCGTCACCAAACCGCGATGAGGTGCTTGCTGGTTCACTCGACAGAACGAGGGCGAAAACGAGAGGAGACGCAAAAGCTCCGCGCTCTACGAAGAAAGACCTCAGTCGACACTACAGTTGCGTTGTGAATTGCCACGGACCTAAAGGAGTTCAATTTTATTTATCGATTCCCACAGCTGTCCCGAAGCAGGATGGCAAGAGCTCTGGATAGGAGTCGTTGCGAACATGTTGGGTAAGCGGATTACTCACGTTTTTCACAGCCGCTCACATGAACAATGATGTAGGTCTCCTTTTATTGGGTTTTGAGTAGTCTTGATAGAGAACCATATTAACTTTGATTATAAAGCTCAACAGAGTTCCCGGCCAGGGTGCGCACTGTGTTAAATTCTGACTGCTGACGTGCACGTTGAACATCGCACCCGCCGCGACCACCAATAATCTGAAGTGGTCTCTACCACACAGCATCGCGCACGTAGGCATTGAAGGCTTCTAAGTCCTTGCTTCAACTAGGAAAAACTACGTCAGTTGAACGCACAGGAAGTGAGAGATGGATAGCGAATGTAACTGCAAAGGCGAAAATCGCCGGCGCCATCTGATAAAGCGAGTTTCGCACCACTGATCGTGATATACGTTGCTCGCATGTGTACTCCATCGCTTGCGCATAATTTGCACGCCCAAATTTAGCGCATTTAAATGTCGCAGAATGCACGTGGGATTGGTTGCCTCGAACTCGATGTCACGCGATGCTCACTAGCACTTAAACTGCGAGTTGCAGATTGCCGAAATAAATGAAACATATTTTGCATTGTACCCGTGGTTCACTTTAATGAGCTTCCTACTTTGGTGAAGCGAGTTTGGATTGATGTTAGAAGTTTGCCAGGTCGTTCATTTTCAAAAAAACCGCACCTCGACACCGACAAAAGAGAAGGGCCTATGCACATTCACTTGCAGACGGCTCTCTCTGCGCTGCCCAGTTACTGCCAGCGCGTCGATGAGAGAGCTGGTGATGTCGTTTTTTGCAGCGCCACCCGCGCAGAGTCTCGCCTCTATAGACGAGAGCACGCGTACATCTCACTCCCAGAGACGGCATAATTTGTTTGGAACTACCAAGGCGTGCCACGCTAGCATGGCAAGCAGTGGCTCTGGGACTTTAAAATGTAAAAAAAGCGCCTGTTCACGCTGCGCTAGCCTATAAGAAGTCATCTAAGGTACCACTGTGCCGTCTTCGGATGGAAAAACAACCAGAGCAAGATTAAGATATTATTGAGCAGTGTCTGTGAAGATCCCAACACGATGGGGCGATTGTGCCGGTGTGGTGTATCTTGATTGCACGAATTTCAATCCGCAAAAAAAAAAAAAAACAAAAAAACACACCCAGCTCTGCCGCCAGTGGATATAGTCGCAATCGGCAGGAAAAACTACGACTCCAGTAAAGGTGTACGAGTAAATATAATTATTGCGTTCACTCAAGCACGACGCCAGCTGTTCCGCTTTACAACAGCGTTTTGCGTGCAGTATCGCTGTATATGCGGTGCCAAATCATTGCCGTATTTTTACGCAGGCTGCATGTCAGTAATACGATATATTACAACTCACGCTTGAATGCAAGCACCGCTCGCGTATACAATTGTAATGGTGTACTATAGCGATGCAAAGAGACGTGAACGGCAAGAAGAGCATAGCTTTCGACTCAGCCAAACTGAGGCATGTGTTGACTCACTAGGTGAATCTGCGCTTTCGGTCGGCGTCACCGTGGCATTTTAAAATCTTGTTCTGTTCGGCAGTGCCCGGCATACGTGGCAAACGATAAACACATGCAGTGGATGAGCGCAAGTTCGAGCGAGATTCTAGTGCTACGTTGACGTCGACTTACAGCACAAATTCTGCCTTGCCACAGCCAAGGCACGCCGCAGTGCGACTGAGTCGATAGCAATACTTTCCGCTGTTCGCGTTTCTTTCATTTGCAATAGTATGTACCTGGTAAAGTTGTTTCCGCAGTCTGCAATGCACGTGCTGTATACATTCCGGACTATCGAGCCAGGTCTCCTCGGCATTTCACATGAAATGAGCACAAAATTGCAGGAGGGGAAGAGCGCGAAACATGCTTACAGCCAGACTCGAGTTGTGCAGTTTTGCGTTTGATTTGTAGAGCGTCTGTTCGCGTGGCAGTGCAGGGCGTCGCTTCACCGCGCTTGCAACAGATGGCGCGACGCGCTTTTGAATAAGGCAGGAGGCACTGAGCTCGCCGTGTTCTGGTCTATCAAACGTGCAGTGTCTGTCAAGTCCTTCTAGAGCTAAAGGGTATCATGACACAGTTCAAGCACCCTCAGTGTTTCGTCCCGGCAATCGCTCTGAAAGCTACGAAAAGGGTGGCAAAGGGGCTACACGAGGAGCGTCATGACCTTGGGAATTCTTGCGACGATCCGATCAGTCATCCGCTGTATGGTTTCATGCGAAAGATGGGCGTGGGATTTATAGTGGTTATTTAAACGTAGTTACGAATTACTGGCTGCTTCCAGAGCTTTGATACTCGACTAAATATCGGTATTCTGTTCTCACCTCGCTCAGAAAAGTGTTGCAGGAGCCTTTTTACGAAAGTGTTTTCATGTAATGTTTTCACAAGGCAATGCGCACGCCTTGACTTGCCGTTATTACATCATACACTATCACAAGACAAACTGTCTATGATGACAAACAAGTCACCGTAAAATGACACAAACACTAGCACAGCAAACGAAAGAGCGCCGGAATTAGTTTACAGCTATGCATTCAAGATATCCGAGAAAGAAAAAAAAATTGATTGACACATTTTCCTAAACTTTCATGTTTATGCAAAATGCGGTGGACTTGACGCGTCTTTATGGCACTCTGAAGGAATCGCAATTACGCCGGATGAAGCTGTAGAAAGCTGTGAGCCTACAAATATTGTGTCAGAGCTCGGCGAGTACTTGTGACAAGCCGTCAAGCTGGCACGCATAGCTAAGGCCGAGCAAAGCATGCGTACAAGACTATACACCGTGACACTTGTTGGGAATTTTCGTAGAGCACAAAAACGCATTTATAGAAGGTTACCTTACATCTGAAACGACGTCACAACGTCAGCGTGCCTTGAAAGTTCCACACTTCGTTGAACAGGTTGCTGTGTCCAGAAGGCAACTTGAGAAACAGGTCGTCTGTAACAAGCCTCCACACCACATTGGGCTGCAATGTAAAGAAATGAAGACTTCAATAGGCGGTTTCCGTCTTTTATTAGCAGCTCAGAAGCTGCCACACCTGTGGCCCGTCGCGCTGATTTATTGTAGTCTCACAGTACTCTGCGTAGTCGGGAAGGTTCTAAAACTGCTACACAAATTTTGCAAATCAACCAATAAAAAAAAAAGAACCTACATCAGCATAAATACAACTGGCACGTGAACCTTCCGCGTATCGCTTATGCCTTCGAGAACACTGACGCTTTTTGGAAGCTGGCGTTCGCAAGGCCGCGGCCACTCACTTCAGCATCGTCGGCGCACTATATAGACCCATTCCATGTTTGTAAACAGAGGTAGGCCGATGTCGAAATTATGGGTAAAATTACAGCGACGTTCGCCAGTAACTTCCGCCATAAGCATTGTGAAAGCCAAAAGCGCCGAGGGCTGCGATGTGCGCCAACAAACAAGTTGTGAGACCCGACACACATCCAACCGCGACGCAGTTCGTTGGCATACCATTTCTTTTTTCTCGTTGCTTGACTGAGAACACCACATGCACCATTGAAAACCCAGCAGAAACTGCGGTAGGCAGAGCGTCTTTTGCCTGCGAAGACAGCGCCACCCTTTTTTCGTGACCTAAGTCCGGTGGAATTTGTCTATATAGCTGCGTCAGTCAGAGAAACTTCGAGAACGCTGCAGTAAAGCAGCGCATGGTAGCAGTCACGTGGTTTCATATTATATTGCAGAGGCCTTCTCTTGACGCCAGATCAAGTTGCCGCGCAGGATGTACGTTGACATAAGATCGTTCTGCGATGCCTGCTACAACGTTACGAAACGCCTTTAGCTATAACGTCAATTACAAACAATCATAATCGATTTTAATTGAGCGACTAAGAACCGCAAGCCATATGCGGTTGGTTTTATTAGTGTTTTTGGGTGTTTAGAAAAAGTGGGTAACGATTTAGAGTACGAGATACTCTACTATGGGAGAGCGTAAAGCCGTCCCTGCCCTCGATGATTACGAGAGCTTAAATTACTTGAGGCTAGCTACGAAATAATGCCAGTAAGTTGGAAATCGAGCACATCTTCAACATTTGCTTCCACAGGTAGCCACAGGAAACACCCATATAGCCCCTACTTTGCAGGGGCATATCTGGAACAGGAGAGCACTTGTGTTTCAAGATGAATCATAACAAGTTTGAACCGATAGCACTATATTATACTACCTGGTTACGTATGTTTGGGGAGGTAGCACAAGACTTTAATCAGCCTTAGTTATAAAAAATTGTATGTCATATTTAGTTACTATAAAAGGGTCACAAAAAGGTATTGTGGACAGTGGCCGAAACAAGGTTATGAACTCCTCCTCAGTGCATTTGAATGCTTCACACAGCTATAATATATCAGTGTTTGCAAGGCAATATTCGGTTGTGCGGTTTGACACGCCCAAAAATTGATAATGTTTAGCGACACGCCGCAGTGAGTCGATTGTAACCATTATCGGGGCTAATTGTGACCGTCTGGTGATTCTGATCCGCAGGTCTTGTTAAGATGTGCTGTAATTTACTAAGTTTGTTGTAATTGTCTATTGCAACGCGTGTACACTTGCCTATGGTTCGTTAACTTGTATTTCTCCGTTTCGACAATATCAGAATTACGTTTACATATCTCAGTTGTGTAATTTAAAACAAAATGTATTTGCTTGATTTATCGATATCTTCTGCGCCATTTTTTTCGTTCAATAATATACGTCGAGGCGATTCCTCTGATAAATATTCATAATCGGAATGACACACCATTTTGGAATAAATAGTCAACATCTGGGTAGCAGCAAGGTAGTAACGGGGCAAGAAAGGTAGTAACGGCTGCAGTCAGTACATCTTTCATTCCATTTACTGTTTACTAACGAAGGTAGTAAACAGGTCACAAAAAGTTAGTAATGGTAGCAGGTAGTAACTGCTTACTAACGTAGGCAGTAAAGAGGTAGCAAAGAGGTAGTAACTGTCTATGTAAGGTAGTAACCGCTGCAGTTACTACCTATTTGCTTGCAGTTGCTAGCTTTCTACTAACTTTTTTTTAAGAGTGTATAACAAGCAGCCATTACGGCACTGTCAGAAAGCAACCAGATGCGTTTCTTGAGAGGATCGCATGTGTACCTGAAACTTTTCACCCAGCGTCTCCTTTCCGCCGTAGTGAACCTTCCAAAGCTCGACTTCTCGCCAGCAGTTGTCGGTGTTCATCGGATCGTCCATGTAACCCCGGCGAGCCATCGAGCAGTCCACCACCTGGCTGGGGTCGGAGGCGTCGGGTTGCTCTTCGAGGCACCCCGAGAAGAACTGGAACGCAGTAATAGGCTTCAGTGAGCATCGATGGCACACTTTTTAACGCAAAGAACCATGCTCTACATATAGAGAAATCGAACTTAGGTTATACTGTTACCGCATCGTGGCTGGGTAACACAGTATAGTAGTTGCAAGTAATCGTATATTCCAATATCATCTTACGCTCGCGATTTCTGTGCCATCGTACATGTAATGAAAGTGCGCAATTCCATGGGCGTGCGCACTAAAACGCATGAGTGCGCGTTTTACCGAAGTCTATGCCACCTAATGTTTTTTGAACGTTATATGGCGAGGTCCCTGGAGTACTGTGCACACGCTTCAACCTAAAACCACCTGGGCTGCGCTTTCGACGACATTTTACTCATGTGCAGACACGCGCTGTTTGAGACTACATTGATATGAATGAGTGAAGCTTTCTTTTTGGTGTGTGGCTGCTGGCGAGTGTGGTATAACGTCAAATGTTGATCCTGTACATTAAAATAATCCTTTATTTAAATACGCATTATTTTATGGGTAAACCCTGTATATAACAAGCGTACATCTTTCACATCCTAAATATGTGCCTTAGTGGCCTGCTAACACAGCGACCATGTGTTTCGTTGTGTCAAACCTGATGTCAGGCAAATACGTGCTACTAGGATCACGTGGATGCTACAGCTGGCTTTGCTTCCACCTGACCTATTACGTTCAGATTAAGCTGGGTGCACACTACGGGAATACGCTATTTTGAAACATATACAAATCACCCTTTCTGTATAGATAAGTGCCGAAAGAAACTGCTGCCTTATGGGTGGAAATTTATTGGGACATTTCTTTCCATTGACTAGCTCCAGTAATTCGAATTGTCTTTAAAAAGTTAGCAACGTTATTTTCAACACATAATTCACATACATTTGCAGCGCCTGGCAGCGGCGCACGCATCTAACTTTCGGGTACAGACGAAGCAGTACGCAGAGGCCAGGTAGAATGAAGTGTGTGATTTAGATCTGCTCCACCAGGTGCCGCTACTATCATAACTTCTCATACTACTGAACACATTTAATCAACTTTTAAATACTCTGCCAATTTATTCGACTTTATTTGAGGTGAAGTAATGTTGCGGCCCGATATAATGCGTACCAATTGTAGCTCAAGGAGTACTAACACAATTTTCGCTTCATGATTTAACACAGCGCGAGGAGTTTGATGCACAAACCCAGACAAGTGCGTCTGACTTTGATTGTGAAAGCGCCCATCGCGGAGAAACCGGGGGTGAGGGAAAGGGGGCTGGCTTGCAGATACTATGCGACCAAAACCTTTGTGTAAGTGAGATACTTTATGCGTGTTTTCAGGCTTCCGTGCATGGAGCGTGTTGATAACGCACACCACGGAAAGGCAAAATGTCACTATACCTGTAGAAAGCCTTTACTTTGACTTGAAAGACTTGTTTCGACACGTTACTGCCAGTCCTGCCCCGCAATTCCAAAACAGAAATTTCCTTTTCTAGTATAAGGGTAATACAAATATATTTAATGTAGTACCAAACAATACGACACTTTTTAGAGTTACCAACAGTCGTATTTTGATGTAGAGTGACCAACCGAAGGTACTAAAATTCCTTCCAGTGCTCCTGTAACTTCAACTTTCTTCTTTAGTAATATCCTTTTTTATGAATAATATTTCATAAACTGGAAGTGATTCACCGCAAGTGTTTGGCGAGTGTCACAGCGTTATCGTGTCGCTAAGCATACACAGACGCAGTGAGAGGAAGGAAGTGTGTAATTTTGTAGTGTGCGTCAAAATTGCGTGAGGGCTGAAATAATATCCCACTAATTGCATGATCCTGCTTCAAAACAACGGACCTAGTGGTTTAGACATTCGATCACTCACGTCTTTCACGTGTTCCGCAGTCGACATTGGCGTGCCCTCGGGAACCTTGAAGCACACCCGCATGACTCCGTCGTACTTCAGCTCACCGGGAACAAAGTCCTAAAGAGAGAGTGCACATATTCAGCGACACTTGTCGAATTTCACGTGTATAGACAAAATGAGCGCACGAACAGACTAGGAAATCACCGTTTGAATTACGACGAAACTCATGTGAGCAGTTTTAATAATGTTTTTTTTTCAACTGTTTTCACACAGCTCTCACTCATAAATTTACTCTAGGTGGGCAGACAGTGGGCGTACGCGTTTTGGATAGCAAGCGCAATTTCCTCTCGACTTGTGGGATAGCGCGAACCAGAATCGTGGAAATAATTTGTCAGCGGGCGTCACTTGCTCTTAACAGTTCGAGCTTTTGAGTATTGTGATGCTGATCATTAATTTTAGTGGACACAGCCAAAATACAAAATTGTTTAAAAAAAAAGCTGTGGTGGCGTTCTTACACAGGTCATCCGGCTCTTAATTTCAGAATTCTTGATCTCACATCAGTAATTTTGTGAAAAGAAAGCTGCGTAAAAGTCCACCAAGGCGAATTGAATGTGTTTCACAATCGCGTAAATAGCGGCTGTCGGTCCAAGAACTACCCAAAGCCTGAAATAACAAATACTGAAGCCCAGTGCCTTTTATGATGAATTTTATTTTCTGCCAGCAAGGATTGACCTTCCATCAAACGAATTATTGTCATAAGTGCAGTCGTAAGTATCATTAAACAATTAATTACTGTTCTTCAAAATGTGTGGTGGATTCACTCTATTGTGTTTAAGATGGATACCACCGTATCATTGCACAACGGCACTGATACTAGTTATTGACGGACGCTACTTGTTATTGAGGAGCACATGGGGCTCTAACATGAAATGTTATAAAATTACTTCAATGGAGCATATTTTAAGGCAATACAATAAAAGATAAGGAGCCGAATTGTAGCTAATTACTGTTGTGTGTATGTGTGTGTGTGTGAGAGAGAGAGAAAGAGAGAGAGAGGGTCAATAAACGTTTCTTGCTTGCCCACAACGTTTTTATATCTAGTGAGCTGCTGCTGAATATCCTGCTGCTCCCGAATAAATATACCGGCGCTGAAACGCACAAGGTGGCGTAATGGCCATGTCACTTTTTTACCAATTTTTACTGAGATTTTATCCTCCAGTGATGGCGTCAAATTAGAGGTGCCATATTCGAATGTAGTTGTAAACAACCTCCACTACTTCAATGCCACATTATCACTCGCAAAATCCAAAAAATACCAACTGCTTGCTTACCACAGAAGCACTAAATCTCAATCTAACTCTGATAACCTTTCTTCGCCGTGCCTATGTGAGAACAACACAATCATCAGAGTCGTTGTGCAGTTCGCAACTATCGACGCAAATGCAGTTGCGATAAAACATAATCTACGACACAGCACAAAGGGATAAACAAATTTACAATATGCATTAATGATTTGTGGTGTTTAACGTCACGAAACCGCAATATGATTATGAGAGACACCAAATTTACAATATGCAGGCATCAATAATCAAAAGTATAAAAGTTTTGCTAGTCTTGAGTAGGTCAATAGGAGAGACATTGAATCATAAGCCGAAGTTAAGTGTGGATAATTACGTGCAAACGTAGACACGTTAACACATGAACACACTGACCGCCCGATTGGAACTTTGTATACTGCTTGACAATGCTGACTTCAAGCCTGTCTTATCACCACTCAGAAAGACCCCACCACCGAAAACGTGCGCCAATTCGAACACAATATCGGAAAAGCTACGACAATCTATTCTAAATGCCCTCGCCATACTTTTTATGCGCGAAAAACCTTGGGGTGAAGTCTTGTCTCTCCGATGTCTCTTGTCCTGCCTTCCGCGCCCTGGGAGCGCTGGCCGCGAGCGCGCCGATCATACGTAGAAGAGAAGAACAATGATCGCGGGTGCGCTCGTGGCACGCTGTTTTTCATTGCGACGCCACAATTTATTTTAATTATTTATTTGTGAATACTGCAACCCTAACATAAGGTTTTGGCAGGGTGGATATACATGTGATAAATGTACAAATCGGCAAACAAATAAAAATAAAAAAGAACAGTGGTTGGTAATAAACCTGCATAAGAACATATAGAGAAATGAGCGCTACATTCAAGATGATCACAAGTGGAGAATAGTTACAGTGATTGAATTAAACAACAGGAGCACATGTCATAAAATTTAGACACTCACTGCTAGAGCTGCGCAGCAAAAAGGTTTAAGGATGACTGGGAAACAACTTCGTTACTAAGGTTATTCCATTCGGTATTTGTCCTAGGGAAGAACGAATACTTGAATGTGTTATTATGGGTGGAAAATGGGGTTATTGTAAAGGCATGCCTCTGCCTTGTGGTATATCCTGTGAACAAATGAAGTATATGTGATAAGTCTAACTTAAAATAACCTTTAACTAACTGAAAGAAAAATTTCAATCTCAATACTTTATTTCTTTGTGTAGGTGTTGGGAGGTTTGCTTTGGCTAATATACATGTTATTGAAGTACGACCAAATCTGTTATAAATAAACCTAACAGCTCTCTTTTGAATTTTTTCCATTCCGATGATATTTTTTCTGGTGTAAGGGTACCAAATTATGGATGCATAATCTAAAGTAGGTTGAACAATTGCATTAAATGCAACAAGAACGGCGGGAGTGGAGTGCTTAAAAGCTCGTCTAAGATAAAATAATTTGTAATTGCACGCGCTTATTACAGTGTTAATATGTCTCGTCCTGTTAAGGTCATTCGAAATCCAAAGACCAAGGTACTTGTAGTGTTGTACCTCCAGCAAAAAAACATTATTGGCTGAATATGCGAAATGAAGAGTGTTACGTTTGTGACAAATTTTCATGAAAACTGTCTTTTAAAATTAACTGACATCTGCCATTTATCGCACCAACGAATGACCTTTTGAATTGCATCGTTTAAAGGAATTTGATCAGTATGGTTTTTTACTTCCGAGTACAGGATGCAATCATCCGCATATAACTTAACTTTTACTAGTATATCATGTGATATATACCATTTATAAACAATAAAAAGAGGAGGGGTCCAAGCACAGAGCCTTGGGGAACACCCGAGTCAACCGGTACTGTACGAGAACAATGGTCATTGAAAAAGACGTACTGTTTTCGATTCGAAAGATAACCGGAAATCCAATTTAGAAGCTGAGTATTCTTAAGATATAAATACAATTTGAAGAGTAATTTATTATGAGAGACCGTATGGAAAGCTTTAGCAAAATCCATAAAAATTGCATCTACCTGTTTTCTGGAATTTATAGATAGTGCGAAATCATGAACTGTAGTTACCAGCTCAGTACAAGTAGAAAATCCTTTCCTCAATCCGTGTTGTGAACCTGACAAAATATTGTGCTTATCTAGGAATTCTGAAATATGCTTATGTATTATGTGCTCAAGTAGTTTACAGGAAGTTGAAATTAATGAGATCGGCCGATAGTTAATAACAGAATGGGGATTTCCACTCATATGTAGGGGCTTGACTTTAGCAGTTGCCCAGTCATCCGGAACTTGACCATCTTTCAGAGATTTAGAAAAAAGAATTGCTAGGTACTTTGAAACCCATTGTGCATAGCGTTTTAAGAACTCGTTCGGTACTCCATCAGAACCTGAAGAATTTTTAACATCAAGCTTCAAAAGTAAATTAAAAACTCCCTCTTCACCTATGACAATATCCGATAGGGGTGGGCCTGCCTCATCAAATGTTTCCAGGATTCCATTATCCTTCGTAAAAACAGACTTAAAATGATCATTGAAAGCATAACAATTAACAGAGGAATGACTAGTTTCCACACCGTCAATTTCAAAAACATCAGTAGTCACAGAATTAGGCAAAATCAAACTCCAGAGCCTCTCGGGAGACGAAGACATGAGACTCGGGAGTTGTTGGCCATAATAGCGTTCCTTGTCAGACAATACATTTGCTTTTAGTTGAGAAGCCAGTTCAGAAATTCTTTGTTGGAGGATACTTACGTCTTTAGAGTACCGTCTCTGATTTTTTATACGCTTGAACCGTCTTCGCAACTGCAACGTTTCCCGAGAAATCCAGGGGTTCTTTCCTTTCGAGTTTTTTACAATGCGTGGAACAAATCTTTCAATACACACATTTATAAGGTCCTTGAAACGCTTCCACAAATAATGAATATCAGCAGTGCAACTCGAAAAAGAATCAAATTCAAATGATAGTAAGTCCAATATTCAAGTATCATCTGCCCGTGAAAAGTTTGGTAACGAGACCCTCTTGCAATTTTTCTTTAAAACAACATCAGAAAGCGTTAGTATCACAGCCTGCTTATCAGATATTCTAGGGAGAACAGAGCAGCTGGCTTGAGCAGAGATTGAGCCACTAATGAAAAAGAGATCTAGAATTGAACAAGAGTTTGCCTGTATTCGAGTGAATTCATCAACGACTTGCATCAAGTCAAAAGAAAACGCTATATCGATCATTTTTTCACCAATTTTATAGTTAGGATGTTGCAAAGAGAAAGATGGCCAGTTAACATGCGGCAAATTAAAATCTCCTGCTAGAATCATCCGATCCTCAGGTTTCACATGCACGACAAGGTAATTGTGTAATTGATCCAGAACATCCATGGAGGAATTGGGTGGCCGATAAATAGCCCCAATAACATATCTGGTTTTTCCGTAGTATGCTTTACAAAAAATGCCCTTGACATTATGAATGTCACGCATTTTTGTAATTTGCAATGACTGTCTAAACAGAATCGCCACTCCACCGCGTCTACTCCCACGGTCATTCCGGTACACACGGTAGCCCCGAGGAACAAGTTCACTATCAAGTATGTTATCGTGCAACCATGTTTCGGTTAGGATAGCAATATGGGGACTTTAGGCCAGGAGGGTTCCTTCTAATTCTGTGGTTTTGCTAATAACACTTCTACAGTTTAAATTTAGTATTTTCAGCGACTGTAAACTGCACAAGCTCCGTCATTTTCCATTCTTCCTCAGCTTAACACGTGCATTTTTCGCTTCATCCCAACTGAACAAGTTCCCATGCACACTCAGTCGATTGTAGAGAAGCTTTACTTTAGCACCGTTCTCTCTCTCTCTTTTTCCGAACTTTTCCACGGATTTCTGCGTGCCTCATGAACCCTGGTTGAAAAATCCTCAGAAAGGACAATACTGAGCCCTTTAACTTGTGCGTAACTTTCAAAACAGACATCTTCTCACGATAATCAATAAAGTTTAGAATAACTGGCCTGTCTTTGTTTTCAATTTTGCGGCCAAGCCTGTGGCATCTTTCAACAGTAATTACCCTTATACCTAGTTTATTCTGGAGGATTTTATTGACGCTATCCTGGAGTATCTGAGGTGTTTCCCTAGGGGGTTCTTTTAGGCCATAAATGATTAAGTTATTTGTACGGCTCCGATTTTCAAAATCATCAAGTTTGTCTTCAATGGATGTTAGTTTTTGTTGCCTTTGAGTCATAGAATCTTCAATTTCTTTCACTTGTTTAGGCAATGAAGAAAATTTATTCATGTGACGCTCAATGGCATCAACTCGTTCTGCTAGCGTGCCAAATTTTTCTGCTAAATCTTTCTGATTGGCTTGTACTTTGTCAATAGCTGCTTTCATTGTTTTTGGCCAGCGAGTAGCTCAGATAGCATTTCCTTTTCTGTAAGAGGACCAGGATTAGCCTCAACGTCACCGCAAACCAACAGATCAAGAAGTATAGGTGCAACACAAGCAAAAAGAAGCTTTAGACACAGTGGGCATGGCAGCAGCAGCAGCAAACGCTTATCATTACGATAACATGGAGCAGGAAAGTGCCTACTAACCTGTATCGCAAGGCAAAGCAGATTACTGATAGTTATAAAACGCGCTCGCTCTCGGCTGTCTCTCTCTCTAACGGTTATGAAAGGCACTTCGTTATGAATGAAAACACGACGACTCGCAGCGCGGCTGTATACGGCAAAGCAGTCCAGAGTATCGGACTCGCAGAGCGGCTGCGGCATGGCAGCGCACACAAGCAGGTCAGACTTGGCGGGCTCGCGAAGCTGCAGCGAAACCACGCCGCCAAGCCGGCCTAAAGCTTAGGGCTCGCGGAGCTGCAGCGGCATGGGAACGTCGTCTTCTCAGATTTCAGGTAGGATCCCACACAAGAGCCCTTAGCTTTACACTTCACCGATCATAAGGCGGTCACAATGAAAGGAAAACGCCGCTCACGTCTCGATACCATATCCAAATTGTGATTAATGAAGAGCTTTGTACATACTCTGCACACGTGTAGTCAGTCTTTTCATGATTGAGCGGCCAATGTACGGGGCTAATAATTCCCCGGAGCTTCGCCCACTCGCCACCATTCAATTCGTGGATATGCCAAGACGAGCTAAAAGCTTACCAAGACGAGCTAAAAACCCAAATCATGACACTAGAGGGCACGAACAATGCGTCCATGCCTGAAGGCATCGGGATGCACATTTCTACTTACCCCTGGCAGCACAAACTGGTCGGTTCTAAAAATCCTCATGAGCGCGATTTCCAGCCCTCTTCCTGTTGATAGGGCTGAGCGCGACTTCTGGTACCTGCAACATAAAACGGGTGACATACGGAATCGATCCTTGAGCGAAATGTCAATTGGAAGCATTGTGACTTACTACTTTTACAGATGTTTTATATTGCGCACAACAGCACTCAGTCAGCGCCCATTGATGCTTTGTAATAGAGGTACGCGTATCTGTCACTATTCGTTAGAACAAAATCTGAATTACTGCTCTGGCGATGGGCAGGGAAATGTCACGAGGCTCCCTATTTGGCCATGACGGCTACGAACAGTGCTTTTAAAGGGACGAAAGTCAATCTACGCGTTTGCAGCAGGAAACGACGAGAAAATCCTCACGAGCTCCTCCGAAAGGGAAACGGGAAACGAAAAAAAATTGTGTTGGTCCGGGTAACATAACAATGGACCACCACCATTCTGCGTCAGTGCGTCTACCAAGGGTTGTAAAAGAAGGGATAGGTGTCACGTAATCTGAAACTCAAAGCACGTTGAATGTGAATGCAGCAGATTGAGCCCGCAAGGTGAAAGTATGGTTACGGATCCCGCAAGCTGAAGTTAGGGTTACCACAGAGAAAAATGGCATTCATCTGTCTGAAGTAGATAAAATACGTGTGAATTCCCTTCTACATTAGCCCTAGAAATGGTTAATGGTGGCGCAAACTAAATATCGTGACTTTGTTCGTCATATAATAAACAATCGTTTGTCTCTCGCAGTTGTAAACATCAATTACGGGCCTCAAGTTAGACCCAAATTTAATAAGAATGTGTTCAGAATGCTTGAGTGGTGATAGAGCGCTTGCCGCTTCATGATGACTATTTTTTATCTGCAATAGCTCCGACGTATTATTAACTATACCAAAGGCTTCTCGAGCAAAAGTCGTGATACGATTAGAAGGCGCTCTGTAAATGCGGACGGCGGATGAATTTTAATCAACGGGGGTTCGATTGCGCCCAAATCTGAGCAATCGGATGTTCTTTTCATTTCGCCGACATCGAAATGTGCCCGTCGCGGCCGGGGCTAGAACCTGTGTTCTCGAGCTCAGCCGGGCAGTGCTTCAAGTATTAAGCCACCACTGCGAGTTGGCAATGATATAATGGCTTCGTGACTTGCGCAGTGCAATACGCTGACTAGGAACTAAACTCAGTACAGTAAACCCAAGTGCGCAATTACCTGCTGATGATGAATAGGACGTAATGGTTCGGTCCCCACCGCGGAAGCGCGCCCCTTCCTTTTAGACCAGTTCTCCCAGCCGGATTCCTGAAAAACAGATCAATTTCGCGTACACGTATATAGAACTGCAAACCCACGAGTCGCCAATATGTCTATACACCCTAAATGGAAATCGAGAGTAACTAGCCGCTTCCTAAGTGGACTTAATGCCGACCACCTTCTTTTGCAGCTACCATGAAATGTACAGTCATCAGAAAGGTTAGCACGAACGCTACGCCGCGTGTCATCGAGGAGTTTGATTGACGCTAGCGCAGCGTAGCTTTGGGTTCTGTTGTTCTGTTGCCAAGACTATGCATACTTACATACTATTCAAGCATACCGAGGTATAATTTCGGCAAGAACCCTCCGTACTCTACGGCTGGCATCAGTAAAAATAGCCCAAGTCACGTGTATAGGACGGTTCATGTTAGGCTTGCTGACGATTGCAGGCTTTGCATACTCCCTCCCAACTTGGGAATCGCAGGAGGAGTAAAGAAAACTTCGGCTTTCAGTTTTTTCTTTTCCCGCTTAGGACGAATACCATTTCTTGTCCACTTGAAAATCTAAGCGAAATGCCTTGTGACCGATTATTTTCCACACTACGCTGGCACAAGAGCAGTGGTCAGTACACGGCTATATGATCAATGAACAAGTGCATAGGTGCAAGTTAAAGTGTGAATAAATGCACAACAAAACGTGTTTCTAAACGTTTTCCGTGCTGGACGGTTTAAGCATTCCATTAGATTAAATTTGCTGTTTACAGTGGTTTACGTATAGAGTAATAGTGCCAAAGTCCCTGCTGCGCTTGTATAGGACGACTTGGAGGTGTAACCGATCTTTATCTTCACCTCTGTCGATCACAGTGGTCCATCTTTTGTCGCTCACCACTCGTAAACTCCGCAGTCAACGCGGTGGAGCACTACCTCTGTAACCACAAACATTAAAAGATTCTTGTATTTCACGTGGCTAGGCGGTGCCTCCGGCATCGGCCCACCTTTCACCAGACGACGATGCCAGGCGATGGCGTGATGATCTCGCATATATAACGCGACACCGCAGTGACGTCATGACGACCTTTCTCAATTCGACGACTTGCGAACGCATGTCACGCGGTGACGTTGTAACATGAATTTTCGCACCACCCGTGTTGACAAAGACTCGAACTTTTGGCGGTTGATCAACCATCTGAGCCTTTATATTTCATAAAAAAATACTGTGACTGCTCACCTCGGAACTCCCTCGTTTTCGAGAATGTAGATAATGTTCGTGCTGTCAGCGTCCTCGATCCACGAGCGTCGGTCTATGTTGACGCCGCCGGGAGTCGTCGACAGACAGTTCCACTGCAGTGGTGGCAGGCTTTGAGCGTTGTCGGTTTTAGGGACGCTGCATTGGAAAAAAGGTGCCGAGATTGAAACTCCTCACCTTCTGCACTTTCGAGCGTGCTTCTCTCTCGCGACTTCTACCGGGGCGCACCCCTTTACTCTTTCTGCCGTGTCTCACTTCCACCATGGCACAAGGCCCCGTCATCTAGCGGGGAACCTGTGTGAGTGATTGCCACCTGCGCGCTCTGTGTGAGGACCATGCAACTTCGACGGACAAGGTGAGCCCCTGTATTGACTTGCCGCTAAACGTCTTACTTGAACACTCTAATGAGGGATGAATTGTTCTAAGCCAGTTTCGCACGTAGCCTCATTCAGATCAAACATTCAAGGTTTCACCTCCATGATGTTGCATCATCTGGGACCAACGCTTATTGCAATACTGTACATTTAGGCTAATTAATATGTATTTGCCTTTGTGGAAAAGTCGCAGGAGCAACACGAGAGATGGAAAAGAAATACTTTTATGCCTTTCTTCGAAGCTTTTTCGCGAATGTGATCGCAAAATTAGAAAACAAACTACTTCCGCCAATCACAGGATTGCGTTATTTCATATCACAAATGCAAACACACATTGTCTAAGTATTGATGTCCGTATTTATTGCCTTGCGCTCGGCGAGAATGGAGCCGAGTGCAAGGCGATATACTTCAAACAAGCGCAAGGCAACTATACCTCAATACTTCAATAAACAACTGAATATTGTCCAGCATTCTTTCCTGATGAACTTACAAAGGTGACTCCGAGGCTAAAACCATCATCCTGTTCTCGGTCGATTCCATTGTTTCCCCACTTCCGCCAAAAACTATCTGCACCTGACGTGGCTTTGCATTAACTCCGGGATCAGAGGCATTGGAAGCTTTCGGCCCCACGCGTGGTCGGCGACCTTCAGCATCAAGCGACAATGTCGCGAGACGACTTCTTCAAGGGATGCAACGCTATGTCACGTCATACGGTGACGTCACCACGTGATATTGTCACGGGGTAAGAAAATATCTTAGAATGACGATGACGAAGTGCTGAGCGGAACGCCCTTGGGCTGCAGCAGCGTTGTACTCTTTTGCTAGCAACCATGTCCTGTGAAATATGCAGCGGATGTGCTTGCCGCACATCGTATGGTGTGCTCACACGACGATGTCCTCATCCACGTAGACCTGCAGCGGCGCCGGGAACTGTGCCCGGGGCCTGGTGTAAGCCACCGGGTCATAGTCCAACCACATCACCTCCCAGGGCACGAACTTGTCGGGCACCGGGAACCGCTGTATCTTCGTGCCCGGATATGGAGACTGGCGAGATATGTAGTGCAGCGTCGTCTGCTGCTGGATGGTCGCTACCACGGACACGGGATCTGCGAGAAGCGTTGTCACCATTCGAGGCCGTATTCACAGGCAATAAAAACCGGGTTTTGGGCGCCCAAAACAGGCAAAGGACAGCTTCTGGTCAACGAGAAACGTATGAAAATAACATGAACAGTGTATGGAAGCACCCTAAATTCTTGGAATGACACACAGGATATCAGTGTAGAGAATCAAAGCGGCATCCCTGAGCTTGGCAGCACAAAAACTTAGCTGCTAAGCAAGCACATCAAGCAGCTGACGTGAACTACTCACTAGGCTCTTCTTTAACGTTGAAGCTATATCGTTTCGCAGCAGTGTTTGCTCGTATACACTGATTTATAGAACGTGGCCCTGCCATTGATATTCCTGAACGGCAAAGTTCTTACAAAAAGGCAATGTGTTCGCAACCACTTCGCCATAGCAATGAAGAGGCCATAGCAATTTGAACAGGCAGGTATATGTGGCCTTTATTTGAAACCCCGTATCAAAGCCACAAGCTTTCGTCTGTGACAGCTAGTTACCTTTCTTTAAACATTTCTTAGCGTCAAAGATAGTTTCTTATTGTATTTTTAAACAAACATCACCGCCATACTTTCGTATTTGGGCGTGCACTTATTCTTCCGATGGCAGCGGAGAGATAACGGCTCAAACTTTCACAGAGGCTTAGAAGGGGCACCAATATAGATGCGTAAAGCATCATTTAGACTTTCCTTCGTAACAATCGACTGCTTCTATAAACTAATGTTTCCGAGCACATTCGCGTAAAGAAATCAGCGCCGCTGATGCTGGGGAAACAAACAGATGTGCCAATTCATGTCCTGCCACAAGGCGTCTTAGACATGAGCTCGCTGCGAATCGTTACTCATATTTTGTGCACTTCCTCTGATGAGAGACAACGTACGATCGCGAATGACGCAAATGAGCGGTAACCTAAAGTAAAGCTAAAGCCTCACCTCCCTTCGAAGAACAAGACTGCTTGAGGGTCTCCAGGTAGATGAGTGACAGAGACATCTTCCGCTGGACCTCCTCCACTTGCCCTTTCAGTCGGTCCAGCGTCGTGCGCTGGTAGTCCACATCCTCCAACATCAATGTCAAGCTGCGAAAGCAAATGCCCTCCTGTACATCACCGGCACGGGCGATTTTCGTTCCTGATATGGGACACGCACAATAGAGCGCACACGTGCCAACGGATCTGTGTGCCCAGAACAGGGATACGTCACCAACTGGATTTAACAGGTGACGGCTGTTTGTGAAAATGCTCCGAGACGATTTTCTTTATAACCGATTTTTGGTGAAATATATGAGCTCAATATAGTGCAATACTTTATGGCGCTTTACATTCGAACCCCACATCGCTACAGGGCATGCCATAATACCTCCCCCAGCTGATCTCGACAGACCTGCGGTTCTTATCAACTTCGCAGAAAATTTAGGTACAGGCTTGTGCCTGTGCTTTGTCTCCAACAAATCGCAGTCGCAGTAGCCGAGACTGAAAAAAACAATTGAACAGACACCAGCAAGTCTGGGAGCCTATGTCGTGCGAAGCGCTACTAGCTAAACCGGCGTCGTTGTGCATTTTGCCTAGTTATGGGTATAACACAGGCAATCCCACAGCAAGAAATTTTTCAGCGGGGTGTGGGTACACTACTACGGTGGATATGGGACCACTGCTCTTGCCATAATATTCGTCAAGACTTGCATGAACATTTTCTTTCTACTTCGCAATCAATGCACCTTCATGAGATGGCCAATTATCTCCGTCTTCCGCTCATTCACAACATGTCTTATTATGTTAATGTCTCATTTCCCATATAAATATTCGACGCAGGATTTTGTTGTCACATTTCTCACAGAATCGACGGCTATTGGTATATAATTCATCCTAACCTTGAAGTAGCAAGACAGCGAAGGAACATACTGAAAAAGGTGTTGGCTGTGTATTAACTGCCCATGTTGTGTGGCCCATGTTGTGTGGCCTATGTTGTGTGGCTCAACTTGCGTGAGCACGCATAAGTGGACTGCTGATTTCACTACCAGAGGTATGACGTGAAAATTGCAACACACTTCATCCGGTAAAAAAGAACGAAGGCCACTGCCTCCTACTGCTGTTGGTATTGAGATACCTGTGTGTAAATTCCAAAGATTCAGCGAGTAAACACGTACCTGACTCTGCCAACCACTTTGAGCCCTTAGAGCGTTTCCAAGCAAGAAAAACAGCCTTTCACTTGGTTAAAGTTTGCAAAAAAAGGGAGGTGTAAGGCTGCTTTGCTTTCTCAATTAGCCTTTTGGTTCGTGTAAAGGTTCATGTTTTACCTAAAGCACTGTTTAGAGGCTACGGTTGTTATCCGTTACAATCATGATCAGGAAGTTTGAGGGCATAAAATGGCAGCAACAAGCACAGGATCGAGTTGACTGACGGATCATGTGTCAGGCCTTCTTCCTGCAGTGGACGTAGTCAGGCTGATGATGATAATGGCCATGTGGAATAACTGACTCCACATGGTCATCATCATCAGCCTGACTACGTCCACTGCAGGACAAAGGCCTGACACATGATCCGTCAGTCAACTCGATCCTGTGCTTGTTGCTGCCATTTTATACCCGCAAACTTGCTCATCTCATCTGCCCACCTAACTTTCTGCCTGCCCCTAACCCACTTGCATTCTCTGGGAACCTAGTCAGTTATCCTTAATGACCAGCAATGATCCGGACTACGTGCCATATGCCCAGCCTATGTCCATTTCCACTTCTTGATTTTAACTATGATATCCTTAACCCCCGTCTGTTCCCTAATCCACTCTGCTCTCTTCTTGTCTCTTAAGGTTACTCCTATCATTTTACTTTCCGTCGCTCGCTGCGTCGTCCTCAATTTAAGCTGAACGCCCTTTGTAAGCCTCCAGGTTTCTGCTCTGTATGTAAGTACCGGATGGTCGGTATAAGCCACATTTCCAGTCTATGGCTCCACAGCCCGAGTGGTGCGCCTCAATTTTATTAATGAGCACTCCCGTCAATGCTGCATTTCACAATATCCTAGGTTGCATGTATGGCTAGGCGATACCGCGCGTGGGCTTCGCGCACACACCTAAAAAAAGGCTAATTTGACTCTTTTTTGTGAGCTCTGTCTGGCATGTCATGCATATGACTCTTCAACCATGCACCGGGAAGAGTACTTCAAAAGCGACGTACTTGTCACCCATCATCTGGCCTTTGTTCTGGTCGGCAGAGGCAAGGATATTGCTGTACTCCAGTGCCTTCTGTTTCCAGTAGTGGTAGTCCAACTCTGACAACTTTTGCCCTTTGCTCACGTCTTTCGCCAACGGGTACACTGGCAGGTGCTAGGTCAGAAAGGATTACAAGAGTGGTCTGTATACATAACAGAGATTCGAGTCCATTGAATCACTACCGTTCATCATCAAGGGTCTCAAGAAATGAACAACTTTGGCGAAATGGACAAAAACTGTACCAAGTTTCATCCCAGACATCTCGTTTACTGGAGCAGCACACTGAAACCTCTCTAACTTCACAGGAACTGAAACTGTCTGAGACGCGATTATTTATTGGTCCGCGTGGCATTTGAAACGGGCTGCCTTTCGAAGTTTCACTGTGCTCTCAAAATAGTTAACTTTATCAACCGCTGTTTTGGCATAAACTTCGCTGATGTTGAGGAATTATGAGAATCAAATTAGCTAAGTGCACTTTCTTGTTTTCTGGTCAGAGTATTTTGTTCATTGAAATCAGTAACCGATTGCAGAGCTTTAGTAAATTTTATTAACAGGCGTTAACATAGGTATGTCAATATAAAAAAAACTACCTGCATTTCAGAAAAAAAGTTTGAGAAAAAATGACGCCTCCCAGTTTTATTATCCCCAAATTTCCAGACACACATCCCTACAGATATCTGTGTAAACAGTGCAGATATTTCGAAAGTGATAACGATGGAAACCCCTTTTTTACCACGATGCTACAAAGAAAACCATAAAGATATTTTGACTTCATTTGCATTTCCACCGCCTTGCGTGATTTCGCAGGAGTGATTTGCAAGAATGCAGAGAGGCAGATGCTGCTGCAGAAGATTGGCGTGCTTTCGAGCAACGGTTATCGCGGTGGTATCAATTAAAGGTGAGCGTACTCGCTTCTTCCTCCTGATGGCTCGCCTGCACGCCTTGAAGATGGCGAACAAGACGCACCAGACGTAAGCAATGGCATTGAGTGGAGGTGGTAAGCAGCGCCGCATGGCGAAGTCCATGACGAGCTCGTACCGCTGGAACTTCCACACGGCGTCGGCTTGTGGTGTCACTTCGGCCACCGTGTTGCTGCGGGGAAAGAATGATTGGTCTTTCGTCGTTACTGGGAATTGCGAGTGGTGGAACAAAAGGGAATCTGTAAAGAGCATGCAGACTAATTTTTTGCAGAATGAAGTGCAAGATTTTCAAAAAAAAAAAGATAAGTGAAAGTATTTTAAGAGAGCAGTTGTATGTATGTGTCACTGTCTATGCAAAAAAAGAAATTCCATTCACTAAAGATTAAAAGTAATTTCGCTGTTTTTACTGACGGATACTGGCGGACATAGCATTCCAATACGTCACTTTCTCAACGACCAACTGACATCCTCAAGAAGGGAGGACCAACTAGGCACACACATTTCAACAAACACGACCTCTTCCTTCCACCCAAGACTTTGATCTCTCGAAAAATGAGAGCCCACTTCGTCACCTTCCGATTTTCAGGATATTAACATCATTCGGAGAAGCAAAGATAGAATTGCTTCAGAGCTCATGGACGGTGTTCCTATTTCTTTAGGAAGGATTGCTCGCGATAATGGCACATTCGTTGCTCATATCAAATTTTTCGAACGGGCTGTGGAGTAAATTGGTCCGTCGACAATACGATTATTTTTTGCCCTCGTTCAGTGGTACGTCTATACTGATGTGCAACAAAAAATATTGCTAGCTTCCGGATTACGCTTCTGTGTGGTGTCCACTTCTTTTCTATAGTAGTTTCGTATTTCAATCCTTTGAATATCAAGAACCACCTCGGCCAGTAATAATTATTGTTACGTTTTATTTTCCTTGGGAAATTTATCGCTAGAAAAAAAACAATGAGCTCTTTAGAAAGAAATGAGAACACTGTATTTAATGGCTGTTAAACCGCAGTTCAATTAAACATTGCTGCAAAAGTAAGACGCGTACATCAACATTATGTATATCTTTAATTAGACAAACAGTGCAAAAATGCAAGAAAGCACCACGATTATCATGCTTCGACTGAAATGTTTGAGCACCTTTTCATTTGGCAGCTTTAATTCTCGATGTATGTACATTGTTTCAGAATTTCTGACACCGTAATAATACGGCAGCGTAACTGGAAGGTGACGTCGCCACCTGTCCTTTGATCGTCCCAGCAGATTGCTGAAACATTCATCGCAATACTGTTAATTTTATGTGCGCAATACAGAAAGTACGCTTTAAATCTCTAAATCTTTTAAGCTTTTTTTAGCAGTCTGCTAAGAATCACGAAAGCTTAGGTCTTCCAAAGCTGTCAAAGTGCAGGTAAGTCAAGCGGTATGCTTCTTAAGTCGAACTGTTAATCTAACGCGCAACCCTTCGAAAATAATTCTGACGCGCGACGGGTCTTCTGGCTCAGGCCTGGCATATACCTAACAGCAGACACACGTGTATCAGCCTATTAGCTTGCTTGAAGGAAAAATCAAATGCGTGACAAGTTATCGCTCACGCCGACCACCATGAGTGTCGGATGAACGGTCATCGCCTCTTGCCAGGGCATCCACAGGTCTTCCGACCTACATTATTTTCCACTGCTGTGCACCTTTTTCGGTTGTTGGTCTGGGTTTGTCGTGTCTTGACTCACACTGCGTAATCCGTCTTAGTATGCCCTATTATATAGAATGAAAACTCACCAACTAGTTGAGATTTTTGTTATTGTAAGGCTCTAAACTTTCAGGTGGTTGGCTCATCGCCACAGTATTTGCAGCCGTTCGCCTTAAATTCCACAAATAAGCAAGAAATGCTTGTTCTCTTACTAGAACAGCGCCACGAGGACGGTGAGAAGGATGAGCTTCAGGTGCGCGAAGTAGATCACCGCGAACACGTAGGGCCACAGTCCCGCATTCGGGCAACTCTCGTCCGAATCTGCAGTCATAAAATAGATGCATGGACTTAATTTTTCGTTAACAACCACGAAATACCAATACTGAACTTCTGTAGATAACGTTTAAACGTGCAAATAAACACACGCAGTCTTTAACAAGGAACATTCCTAACTAGGAAATCCCGAAAACTGGCCTCTCGTAATGGACGCTTGAAAAATGAAAATTATAAAGTTCATCCCATCTGTGACAAATTATGCGCTCATGTTATGAATGTGAAGCGAGCCAAAACTACAATATTCTAATCAATAATGATGTTTGTACTATAACACAACCATCGAAGTATGACTTTCCAAACTATAAAGCAAAGACGTTTTTTTTTGCGTTGGGGCAATCCGTAATGACTAGAAAATAAGACAGACGAATAATATGCAATTTTGTGGACGTTTCAGGATTTATATTAGGCATACATGAGCGCCACGTCCTACTGCCGTAACAAGAAAAAAGGTCAGGGTTTCGCCGCTACGGTGAAGCAATGAAGGAGACAGCAACAACTTCGAATGTGACGCTGAGAACGATGAGCAGAACGAAACGTGTAGCGCGCGGCTCAGGCACAAATGGCGCACGAGAACAACAGGCACAGGACGAGAGCTAGCCAACAACATTTACAGATCGACACTTGACGAGCTGTTTAAACAAAAACGATGCACGAAACGTAATCAGAGGTACAAATCTGTGTGCCAACTAACAAATGTCCCAGTTGTTAGCTGCGTTCGAAAAGCAGGTGTTCTTTGCAAACAGGACCTGTCCAGTGAGCGAAGTGATCTTTGTGTGCCCAACAAATGAACGCAATCGGTCCGGTGGGCGCCGAAGGGGCGTGGTTCTCCCCCACCACAGGGTAAGTGCGCTGATAAGGCCCCTTCCCTCCACGGAGCAAAGCACGCGTGGGGCCTGCTAGGTACCGAGCTTCAAGCTGAGCGCATATGTCGCGCCATCTGACTGGTAATGCTGAAAACTGGCTATTTCTTCCGAGATAGGTGCCGCCAGCGCTAAATGGTAGATATAAAAAGCTTGCCGTTTCGACATTGAAGGAGGTGCTCCTTCGTGGCACAGTGGATAACGCCACGCGCTCACGCACGAAAAGTCGGACATTTGGTAGCGCGCGCCGGAATCTTTTCCTGGATGAGTTTTTTCTCTCGTGTTTATATTGTAACGAACAAATACAGTGCCGGAAGCTAAAACAGCTATTTATTCATAGCGAACTTGTACCCGTCAACTAAATACACAAAAGTTGTGAGCTCACTGGTCAAAACCTAATCAAAGCCTAACAACATGCGGCATTAGTCCCCCTCCTGAAGCGCATCGTCCCGATGCGTACGCTGACGTTGAACAGTTTTGTAAAGGAGTATTTATCTGATGTTTGAGCACATTTATCGGTTGTCTCGTTCAGTGCCTTTCGTAGTACGGTTTCATTCGTACTACATGTACGACTTCTGGGCGATTCCTGCGTAGGGTTGAGCACACTTGCCCTTCAGGAATTACTTCGTAGTTTAGCGCGCCTAACTGGCGAAGTACTTTGTAAGGGCCGAAATAGCGCCGCATCAGTTTTTCCGATAGGCTAGGTGCACGTATAGGCGTCCACACCCACACTTTGTCTCCGGGGTTGTACTGTACGTCTCTCCGCTTCAGATTATAGCGACTTGCGTCGGAGCCTTGTTGCAAAATGATAAGATGTCTTGTTCTTGGTCAGATGATGGAGACTCAACAGGTGCGTGAGACAGGCCATCCGCGTCATTGTGCTTGAGGCCGGACTTGTAGACCACAGTGATGCCGTGTTCCTGCAGACGCAGGCTCCATCTAGCAAGTCTTCCTGAAGGGTCCTTGATGTTACACAAGGAATGATGATCACTAATTGCTCGAAACGGCCTGCCGTAGAGGTATAGGCGAAACTTGCTGATGGCCCATATAACTGCGAGACACTCTTTCTCTGTCGCTGAGTAATTAGACTCAGCATTCGATAGAGTGCGGCTCGCGTAAGCAATGACCTTTTCTTCTTCATTCTGCCACTGAACGAGGATGGCACCGAGGTCAACGTTACTCGCGTCGGTATGTATGTCTGTATCGGCCTCTTCGTCAAAATGGGCAAGTATTGGGGGAGACTGCAAACGGCGTCGCAACTCTGAGAAAGCCGCTTCTTGTTCCTCCCGCCAAGAGAACGGTACACTTTCTTTCGTTAGCCGTGTCAGAGGCTCAGCGACCTTAGCAAAGTTTTCAACAAAGCGTCTGTAGTAGGCACATAGTCCCAGAAATCGTCTGACGGCCTTTTTGTCTTGTGGTTTCGGAAAATTTTCAACTGCTGCAATCTTCTCCGGGTCTGGGCGGATGCTTTCCGCACTAACTATGTGCCCGAGCAACCGAAGCTGACGAAATCCAAAGTGACACTTTAGCGGTTTGACGGTCAGTGCTGCCACGCGAATGGCATCCAGTACCATTCTCAGTCGGTGGATGTGCTGCTCGAAGGTAGAAGAAAAAACCACTACATCGTCGAGGTAGACGAGACACGATTGCCACTTGAGTCCGGAGAGCACAGTGTCCATCATCCTCTGGAAGGTAGTGGGAGCAAAGCACAAACCAAAAGGGAGCACTTTGAACTCGTATAGTCCGTCTGGGGTCACAAACGCCGTCTTCTCGCGATCTCGTTCGTCTACCTCGATCTGCCAATATCCACTTTTTAAGTCCAATAATGAAAAGAAGTGAGCATCACGTAACTTATCTAAAGCATCATCAATCCGCGGAAGTGGGTAAACATCACGCTTTGTGACTTGGTTCAGCTTTCTGTAGTCAACGCAAAACCGCAGAGTGTTGTCCTTCTTTTTGACTAGCACTACCGGTGATGCCCACGGACTGTTGGATGGCTGGATTACATCATCGTTGAGCATTTCCTGCACTTGGTTCTTGATGACTTCCCTTTCTTTTGGCGCTACTCGGTATGGGCGCTGATGCACAGGTCTCACGTGTTCTTCGACCACGATACGGTGCTTTGTGACGGGAGTACGTCCGACTTTCGACGAGGTGGAGGAGCACTCGGCGAACTCCCTGATGAGGTCAGTAATCTGTTGCTTCTGAGATGACGAGAGCTCTCTGTCAATGTCTACTGACTGGAGTACGTTATCTACTGTCTCTGAAGCTTTATCAAGAGTGCAAACATCTGAGACTTGCACGTACTCATGCAGCGATGCTACGGATGTTCCCTTCGCAACATGCTGCACCTCATTTCGAAAGTTAGTTAATAGGACATACGCACATCCATCACGAAGGCTCACCAGGCCTCTTGCCACGCATAGTCCTTTTTCTAATAGCAGTCCGATGTTTCCGTCAGCTAATCCGTCACAGTCACGAAGCACTTCACTCCTCACAAGAACGGTCACACTGGAACGTGGCGGCACGGTTACATCTTCGTCCACATTGCGGAGAGGTAGAACGATTGGTTTCTCCGCATGACAGAAGGAGATGGCATTCTCCGTAGAAAACGAAACCTGGGACTCTTGCAAGTCAATGACTGCATTGTTTGTTTGCAAAAAGTGCATGCCTATTATTAGTTCCCGGGAGCACTCAGGAAGCACAATAAAGCTGCCGACATACACAAACCCTCTTATTCCTATCCTTGCGGTGCATAACCCCACGGGACTAACTAAGTGCCCTCCAGCGGTACGTATCTGAGGTCCGGTCCACTCAGTCATCACCTTCTTAAGCTTCTTTGCGAGAGCCTTACTGACAACGGAATAGTCTGCACCAGTGTCTATTAGCGCAACGGCCTCGACGTCGTCGATCGTGACTAATATCTCGGAGGTAACGTCGCTACTAATGCACTTGACCGTCGTTGCGCGACTGCCACCGTCCTGTCGGGCTAACAATGGAGGGTCTTCAGTTGTAAGTATATCAGCGGCCTCACCTCCAGAGGTCGCTGGCTCTAGTTTTCCCGCCGCAGGCTAGGTGAACGTGATCTTCGGAGATTTGATCACGGACGAGGACTCGGTGACCGATAGCGCATCGGTGCTGTCGAACGCGACTCCCGTTGTTGTGTGTCTTGAGGTAAATAGCGTGAAGACAAGTATTCTTCGATTTTGTAGGGCCAATCACCGTTCCGTGGGCATGGTGCATTGACTGGAAAACCACGCAGTCCCGCTCGACGATACTGGCACGCCCGGTAAATGTGACCTGCTTCTCCGCAGTGGTAGCAAAGGGGCCACTGGTGTACAGTGTGCCATACATCGCTCTTACGTGGTCTTGCTTCCGGCATTGGTAGCGGCGTACTTGGAGAAAACGTCGGAGGCATCACAGCAGTCGCAGCCGTCCGATTCATGCGTCCGAGGTCCTGTCATACAGCTTGCGCATACGACAACTGAGGCGGAGGCTCCGGTTGTGCGCGCTGTAGTACCTGAGGTTGTGGTTGTAAAACCGCTTGCCGCACTTCTTCGCGCACAACGTCGGCAAGTGAGGACATCGCTGGATGAGCTTGAGTCATGTGCATTTTCTGCAGTTCTTCCCTTACGACAGCCCTCACCATTTCACGCAGGAGATCAAAGTTACTCGTGAGGGTTGTCGACGCCGCGCTAACAGATGAGACGCTTACATCCCTGTTGTATTGGCGCGCGCGCTGCTGCAGAGCCTTTTCTATCATGGTCGCCTCTGATCTGAACTCAGCAAGAGAGCGCAGTGGATTACGCACCAGGCCTGCAAAAAGCTCCTCCTTCACTCCACGCATCAGGTGCCGCAACTTCTTTTCCTCAGCCATGTTCCGGTCGGCCCGGCGGAACAGTCGAGACATGTCATCAATGTACATGGCGACGCTCTCGTTGTTCCGTTGGTTTCGCGTCTTAAGAGCGGCCTCTGCCTTTTCTTTGCGGTCCGTGTTTGGGTACGTAGCAAGAAACTCTCTTCGAAAGTCGTCCCACGACAATAAGGACGCTTCGTGGTTTTCGAACAACGTACGTGCAGAATCTTGCAGTGCCACGTAGACGTAGCGAAGTTTCCGGTCTTCGT